GGTTCTTTTTAGAGAAGGCCTAATTTGCATGATTAATACAATGGATTTTCAAATGTCACAGTTAAAAATTCAGCATTCTATGTTAAGATCCTTGACAGGGGAAATCAGAAGAGAAGTGTACAGATGAGCTTTCTTCTGAAAAGAGGAAAATCCCAGACTCTTCTAAGTACATTCACTGTTCTCCATTTCCTCTTTTGTTAATATTAGAAAATCCTCTGAGATTAGGAAAACATGGACCAATTTTGCTAATTATGAGCTCTGTGCATTGAGCTCTTAGGCCAAATAGGAGTAAATAATTAGCCAGTGCCTTCAGCCCTTCTGGCTGCAAGTCCCAGTTAAGTGTCATAGCTGTGGCTCTTCCTCCCCGAGTTGAGACCTGCAACAGGAGATCTATGCCTGAGTCGTCTTCATGCCAGTCCTGAGAGCAGAGCCGCAGCCTCAGCATTACCAGGCAGGAGAAGGCAGTGGATCCAAACTCCTAGGTCATGGCGCTGCAGAGATACAGCACAAACCAGTGAGTGCCAAAGGGAGACAGTGGATGGAGGAGGAATTATGGAGACGCTTGTATCCTCATTATCAAGGCAGTGGGAGTACTGAGATAGCCAGATAGGAGAGCATCAGTAGGCAAAGTTCCACTCAGAGGCCTATGAAGTGTATGTTATTTTTTCCGTTGGGAGTTTCAGAATCGTCATTCAGAACTCTGATCTTCTCTTATTACCTTTCCTAGCTTCCAAAGGCAATGCCCACACCACAGCAGAAAAAGATCTCTTCATCCCCTAAGCACTCCCAATGATCATGAATAGTATGACTATGGTCATGATGGTGATGAGAGTAATCATACTATCACAAGACTTTTATGAGGGTTTTCTTATGTCTGGCTCAGAGGTATGTGTTATGTAGCTTTAATTTTCACCTGCACCACACCCCAAATCCAGGTGTATACATTATTGTTGTTTTAGAATTGAGGCAAGGAGCACAGTATTCTTACTAAATTTGTACCAAGGTCCTTGGTTAAACAGGAGGGAGTCAGGTTTGGATCTGAGCAGTGAGACCCTATTCACAGGACACAGGATGCAGGACAATGTCTTTCCATAGAATTTAGGTCATGTGGCTACTGAGCTCTTTAAATGTGGCTAGTCCAAACTGTGCATATAAAATGAGGGCAGTTTGAAGATGTACAAGAAAAGGATGTAAAATATCTCAATTGTGTATATTGGTAAAATTATAATGCTTTTGGCACAATGGGTTAAATAAAATACTAAAATTGAAACAGACAAGGGGGAAAAAAAACATCTCTCAGCCGACTTACTCAGTCTTTCCGTTTCTTTCCAGGTCATTCCAGGTAGCTTGCTTGTGGAAGATGACTGAGTCTCATTTATTTCTGATCCCAAGCACCCATACTGTAGTTGGCACAGAGTAGGCAACAGAAACAAACAAAAATATATATACAATTTATTAATCTGTTTTATATTGATTACCCATTGTTAGTTTATAGAAATGCAGCACAGTCCACATGGCTGACACACACTGAGCGCTTTTCTGCCTGGGCTTTTATCCCTTCAAAGGATGTCTGTGTGTCTAAGATATAAATAAGATTCTGTCATTTCCCTTCAAGCATCTTTCCCAGAATCACTAATTCAACCTGGGGAGGGGTTGGTGAGAGCCTCTGATTTGTAGCCAAGTCTGAAGTTGTGGGTAAACTGGGGACCTACTACTTGCAATTGGTATCTGAAGTAGGGGAGAGAGCTATCTTGTGTGACTGAGCCCTAAACCTACTGGATTTGACACTGCAAGCAGATAGTATCAGAACTGAGTTAAACGGATGCTCGGCTGGTGTTATGGAGAGTGGCTTGGCGTGGGGAATCTCCCATACTAACATTTAGTGACCAGAAGTGTCAGAAGTAGAGTGTCCTCTGTAAAGTAAAGGAGACACAGTAGGAAGTGAAACACTGGGCTGGTTTCCTATTCAGGACCAAAGACTTCATTTAATTGTAATGTAGTCATAGTGTCCATGCCCATTAAGGGATTTTTGAGGGAAGTGAGTGCTATAGCAATGGAATTCAGGCAAAGCAATAGTTCCAATGGTCAAGGTGAAGAAGACATGTTTGTCTTTTATTTTTATGGTCAGAAACCTCCCCAAGATTATAGGGGGTGCCTTGTTAAAATTTACTGTAATTTGAGCCCCAGTATTGATTGGGAACATGAAAATTTGCCAGTTGGTGCATTTCAGTTGATGTTAAAGTTGATTCAGAACTGTGCTGATGGGAGCCAACCTGCACCCTTTGATTTATTATTTGTTTGTTTCTTTGTTAATCCTCACTCGAGGATATTTTTTTCATTGATTTTTTTTAAAAAATAAAGAACAGAAGAGAGGGAGGCAGGGAGAGAAAGAGAGAGTGGGGGGAGAAACATTGATGTCAGAAAGACACATTGATTGGCTTCCTCCCACATGTGCCCCAACCTGGCCTGGGATTGGCTGGGAATTTAACCTTCGACCCTTTGGTACATGGGCTAATGTTCTAACCATTGATTTCCTAACACTGCCCAGGGCAGACCCTGCATTTTTGCAACTGAGGTGTGATTGACATATAAAGTTATATTAGTTTCAGGTATACAACATAATGATTCAATATTACATATGTTGCAATGTGATCACCACAATGAGTCTAGTTAACATGTCACCACACATAGTTACACAATTTCTTTATTGTCATGAGAACTTTTAAGATCTAATTTCTTAGTAACTATCAAATATGCAATATAGTGTTTCTATTAATAAAATTTTATTTACAAATGTATTTCATATTTATAAATGGCATGGAATAGTTCAATAATGGTATTCATTTTTTACATTTTTATTGTAGAAAGTATTACGAATGGCCCCCTTTTTCCCCCATTATTCCCTCCTTCCTGCTTCCACCCCCTTCTTGCCTTCCCCAGCCCAATGTCCATGTCAATTGGTGGTGCATATATACCCCAATGTTCATAGCAGCACTATTTACAATAGCTAAGATCTGCAAATAATGCTACTCTAATTTACAAAGAGGGCTATTGGAACTAAGCTAGAATCTTTATATTCTTTCTCTAAAGAATGCTAGAAATTTTGAATTTTTAATCTAATTTTTCAGCCAGTAATATAAAGGACTGTAAAGTAAGAATTTTATGGAGGCAAATATAGAAACAACCTGTGTATATACATCAGTATTAAATTGTTATTTGCTTGAAAATATGCTTCCTTTTCATAGAACTTGGTCTATCATACCACTATTTTTCAAATCTTCCTTACTAGTTCCCATATATTTTTAAAAAATTTTAAATTACAATTTACATTCACTAGTATTCTGTACTAGTGCAGATGTATAGCAAAGGGGTTAGGAAATTATGTAATTAACAGAGTGGTTCCCTCCATTGTGTCACGTACCAACCTGGCCCCATACATACTAATCACAATACCATTGACTCTAGCCCTGGCCAGTTTGGCTCAGCAGTTAGAGCGTCGGCTTGCGGTCCAGGGATACCGGGGGGTCGGTTCCCACTGTGGGCGCGTACCTTGGTTGCAGTTTGTCCCCGAACCTGGTTGGGTTGTGCTAGTAGCAGCTACTCAAGGTGTCTCTTTCACGTCAATGTTTCTCTCTCTCTCTCTCTCTCTCTCTCTCCCCCACCCACTCTATCTGAACGAAAAATGAAAAAATGTCCTCAGGTGAGGATTAAAACAAAACAAAAACAAAAAACAATACTATTGACTCTGTTCCAATGCCATAAGCTACACCTCTGTCACTATTCTGTAGCTACCAATTTGTACAGATTAATCCCTTCACCTTCTTCACCCAGTGTCCCAACCCCTACCCCTCTGATAGCTATCAGTCTATTCTCTGTATCTTTGAGTCTCTGATGGAGAAACAGTGACTCTGAGCTAGCTCAGCCAGTTTATTATTAAGCCAATTGAAGGGGTGGGGGTTGGGGGTTCAAAACCTTTATTATTCTCAAACACCAAATGTTTCCTTAGGCCTCTGAGCTCAAAATCCAAATTGTCCATACATTCCTGCCCACGGCTCAGGAAGCTCCTATGTGGGCTTTGCCGACACACAGGAAGAACAAGAGATCTCGAGCAGAATGTTTCTGCGTGGGACTTGCCAGAACGCAGGCTCAACAAGTGGCCTTGGGACTAAAGGCTCCTGGGCAAGTCCATGCAAACACCACAGGAACAAGAGACCTTAGCTCAACTGCCCTCCACAGTTCATTAGAATCCACATACAAGTAAAATTATATGGTATTTGTCCTTCTCTGTCTGACTTATTTCACTTAGCTTAATACCCTCTAGATCCATCCATTCTGTCACAAAAAGTAACATTTTATTCTCTTTTAGGGCCAGGTAGGATTCCACTGTGTATATGTACTACAGCTTTTTATCCACTCTTCAGTAATGGGCACTGGGTTGCTTGACATTTATTTTTAAGTGGAGTACCCAGGTCTTATCACTTAGCCCAGATATGAGGAGAAGGAGAAGAGAAAGAGAAGTGGTTTAAAAACTGTGAGTAGTCAAATATCACACACATAAAATGGACTCAGACACTTTATTACATAGCTCTTATAGCATGATTATAAAGAGCATAATTCAAGGGAATTTCCTGCACTGCATTTGGATAAAATAAAGTACATTTGACTGCTTATTAGTGTCCTTAAACCAAGGACACTATTTTTTAAAAGAAAAGGATAGTTCTTTCTTTTTCTTCCTTCACAGGAAGGTACTAATATGTTAGTGTGTTTATGGATTTATACATTTCTAAATAATCTTACTCCTCTGATTATTTCAGCCCATTTTTTTTAAAGTCAGGCAATGTAGTAACACATTAATGGAGCAAAATGCAATATGAAAATCGTTCGAAGAATGTTTGTCATAACCAAGAAGAGTTACTAAAGGAGTATAATTTTAAAATGTGAATACTTTATTCATGAATTGCTTACATTCAAAATATAGACACACTGATGTGCTTGTTTCCTTTATACCAACTCTCATGTATTTTCCAAAAGGTGTCTCTGCCATGTGGAACCAGAGAATCTAACAGGTCCATTGGAATTTTTCCTTCTGGGGTTCTCAGATGATCCAGAACTGCAGCCTCTAATATTCAGCCTGTTTCTGTCCATGTACCTGGTCACTATGTTGGGGAACCTGCTCATCATCCTGGCCATCAGCTCTGACTCCCACCTGTACACCCCCATGTACTTCTTTCTCTCCAACCTGTCCATAGCTGACATTGGCTTTATTTCTACAACTGTCCCAAAGGTGATTTTGGACATTCAAAGTCATAGCAGAGTCATCTCCTATGCTGCCTGCCTGATTCAGTTGTCTTTTTTCAATTTTTTTGGATGTTTGGACAGTGCACTCCTAACTGTGATGGCCTATGATAGGTTTGTGGCTATTTGTTATCCCCTGCACTACTCAGTCATCATGAACCCACACCGCTGTAGCCTGCTGCTTCTGGGGTCTTTTGTGATCAGCCTTTTGGACTCCCAACTGCACTGCTTGATGATATCACAGCTTTCCTTTTGCACAAATATGGAAATTCCTCATTTCTTCTGTGACCCTCCTCAACTCCTCAAGCTTGCTTGTAATGATACTTCTACTAATAAAATATTGGTCTATTGCATTGGGACCATCTTTGGTGGTATTCCAATCTCAGGAATTATTTTCTCTTACTATAAAATTGTCTCCTCCATTCTGAGAATCTCATCATTAGGTGGAAAGTATAAAGCCTTCTCCACCTGTGGTTCTCACCTGTCAGTTGTCCCCTTATTTTATGGAACAGGCCTTGTGATGTACTTTGGCTCTGTTGTCTCACATTTCCCCAGGAAGGCTGCAGGGGCCTCAGTGGTGTATGCCGTGATCACTCCTCTGCTGAACCCTTTCATCTACAGTCTGAGGAACAGGGACATCAAGAGGGCCTTGCAAAGGCTCCTCCACAGAACAGCCTAGTCTCAGTACTTAGGCCATTGTGGGTATCTTTGTTGTTGTTTTTTTATTTATTATCATCGTTATTTTTGTCTCCATAGGTGTGAAATGACTGCAAAACCAAACATGTGGAATTGGCAAACATAAATCTTTGTAACACAATTTTTATGACTCATGATTTACATTTTTCTTTATCTGTAATATCTGGAAATTGCTTATTTTGGCACATCTTTGATGGGATTAATAGTGTGTTCTGAATCCTGTGTATATCCAAATCACACCTGATTATTACAACTGTGAAATTTTCTTATCACCTGTGACCATGGCATCCTGTAAAAATTCACAACTCTCTTTCAATGTGTATATTATATATATGCGTGTGTGATTTTCAACTATTTTAGCTGTCCATGTCTATTTTTCATAGAACTTTAACTTCAATGAAATCTATTAGTGCAGGTTGTGTGAGAGAATGTGTGTCACTGATGCTTATTCTAGGCTTCCTATCTGAAGCATCTGATGAGCATTACAAATCTTCCTGCCAGAGTCCCATCAATCCACATTGAGATTTAATTGGATTGGAGAGTAAAAAGAGCATAGTGTTTTTAACAGCACCCCAGGTGGGTCTAATGTGTAGCCACAGTGGAGAAATACTGAGTTTTGTCACACTTTTTATTAGAAAATGATGTGTATGTCTTGGGTTCTTCACTGGTTATGATCAGATCTTGAAAATCTTAAAGTGATCAGAGTCACAAAGGAGAAGACATAGAAGTATTTGCCTTAGTACCAGTCAATGTGATTTCTTCCCTTATGTTCCTGGTAATATTTGTTCACATATCTTCTCCTGCCACACTTTACAGCTGTCCCTCTTTACTGGATGTTAAGCTATTGTTTTTCTGCTCAAATTTACCCTTTTATACTTTCTGTTTAATGCTGTGGTGTGGGATCTTGTTTTCCACCTGGTTTCTCTTAAGGTTCTTGAAGTAATAGTCAGTAAAGGGCCCATGTACCAACATTTCTTTTTTCCCCTAGCCTATGCAGTTGTCACTACATCCTGAAGTTATGACACCATATTACCATGTTTTTCATTTATGACTTTCAACATTCAAAAGTACATAATCATAATCATACCTATATTAAATTATCATTATTAAAAATGACCAGTGTGGTTTCTGTCTCCTTGATTGAACCCTCATTAATAAATCATAATACGAGGAATAAAACTATGGTGAGTTACAATAGGAAGAATGCAAAGTGACCTCAGGACAAAAAGGTGATTGTAAAACCTTCCATGTGCAAGGTTTTTGTTTGCTTGTTTGTGTTTTGAGAAGCTGGTGATGTGAAGGGTTGAAGACTGTGCTGGAAAACAGAGATATTTCGAGTGTCTTGTGCTCAGAGCCCAAATTTCTGTTGGATACTGAGGACTTTCTGGTTGGCAGCTTCTAAGATGCTTCCAATATCCTCTGCCTCCTGTATTTGGCCTTTGTATATACTCATCTGCATGTGGGCTGGACCCTGTGACTTACATGAAATAAATAAAATATAAAAAAAGATTGGGCTGTAATTCCAACATTAATGTATAAATAGACTCAGGCTTTCAACTACCAGTCTTATTCTACTCTCTCACCAGGTCATTCTGATAAAAGATACCTGCCTTGTTTTCAGCAGGTCACTGGAGAAATTCATATGGCAAGAAGCTGGGGTATGTCTTTGGACAGCTGCCCATGAGGAACCAGATCCTGCCAAAGCCATGTGAGTGAGCTGAAATTGGATCCTCCTCTAGTGAAGACTTGAGATCACTTCAGGCCAGAAAGGTCTGGCATAAAGTATTAAAAGTGATGAAAAGCAAGGACCTACAACGAAGACTACTATATGCAACAAGATATCTTTTAAAATTGAAGAAGAAATAAAGAGTTTCTCACACAATAAAAAGCTAGAGGAGTTCATTACCTCCATACCAGTATTGTAATAAATGTTAAAGGGTCTTCTTTTAAAAGAAGAGAAATAAGAAGAAGGAGGAGGAGACAGAGAAAAATAGTTGAAAGAATAAAATGACCAAGGAGGGAAAAGGAGAAACATCTGTAACAAAAATTAATTGTGAAAAATTAAAAAGAATATATTTTAAAGAATAAAATGGAAATAAGTATATACCTATCAATAATCACTTTATTTTTTTCATTTATTTATTTTTTTATTAATTAATTTTTGTTACAGATGTTTCTCCTTTTCCCCCCAATGAATCCCCCCTCCTCCTACCTCCGGGCCCTTTACCCAGTTTGTTGTCCATGTCCACTGTTCATGCATACATGCACGTAAGTTCTGTGGTTTATCTCTTCCACACGACCCCCCTCTTTAAGGGATTGTCAGTCTGTACCCCACTTCCACGTCTCTGGGACTACCCCATTCCTCAGACTGTTATGTTCATTACATTCCACAAATAAGTGAGATCATATGAAACTTGTCTTTCATGTCTAGCTTGTTTCACTTAGGATGATACTTTTCAGGTCCCTCCATGTAGTCTCAAAGGATAAGAGATCTTCCTTTCCTACAGCTGTGTAGTACTCCATTGTGTATATGTACCACCGCTTTGTTATCCATTCGTCTACTGATGGACACTTGGGCTGTTTCCAGATCTTAGCTATTGTAAATAGTGCTGGTACAAACATGGGGGTACATATATTCTTTCTGATTGGTGTTTTAGGCTTTTTAGGGTATATTCCTAGAAGTGGGAACACTGGGTCAAATGGAAGTTCAATTTTAAATTTTCTGAGGTAACACCATATTGTTTTCCGTAGTGACTGCACCTGTCTGCATTCCCACCAGCAGTGCACTAGAGTCCCTTTTATCCACACCCTCGCCAACGCTTGTTGTTTGATGATTTGTTGATGGTGGCCATTCTGACAGTTGTGAGGTGATACCTCATGGTTGTTTTAATTTGCATCTCTCTGATGATTAATGATGATGAGCATTTCATCATATGTTTCTTAGCCATTTGTATGTCCTGTTTGAAGAGGAGTCTATTTAGTTCCTCTGCCCATTTCTTAATGGGATCCTTTATCTTCCATTTGTGGAGTTGTATGAGCACTCTATATGTATGGGAAATTAACCCCTTATCTGAGATATCGTTGGGAATTATGCTCTCCCATACAGTGGGTAGCCTTTCCGTTTTGATGATTGTATCTTTCACTGTGCAGAAGCTTTTGAGTTTGATGTAGTCTCATGTGTTCATTTTCTCCTTTGTTTCTATTGCCTTAGGTGATGTGTCAGTGAAAATTCTGCTGCGTATGATGTCTGACATTTTGTTGCCTGCAGTCTCTTCTAGGATTTTTATGCATTCATGAGTTACATTTAAGTCTTTTATCCATTTTGAGTTGATTCTCGTGGAGGGTGTAAGTTGATGGTCAAGTTTCATTTTTCTGCAAGTAGCTGTCCAATTTTCCCAGCACCATTTGTTAAAGAGGCTGTCCTTACTCCACTGTATGCTCTTGCCACCTTTGTCAAATATTAATTGAGCATATTGCTTTGGGTCCATTTCTGGATTCTCTGTTCTGTTCCTGGGTCCATTTCTGGATTCTCTGTTCTTTTTTTTTTTTTTTTTCCTCATTCGAGGACATTTTTCCATTTTTTGTACAGACAGAGTGGGAGGGAGAGAGAGAAAGAGAGAGAGAGAGGGAAACATCGATCTGAAAGGGACACATCGAGTGGCTGCCACGGGCACGACCAACCAGGGCCGGGGACAAATTGCAACCGAGGTACATGCCCTTAGCCGGAACCGAACCCGGGTCTCTCCAGACCGCAGGTGGATGCTCTAACCGCTGAGCCAAACCGGCCAGAGCTGGATTCTCTGTTCTGTTCTACTGGTCTATATGCCTGTTCTTGTGCCATTACCAGGCTGTTTTGAATACAGTGGCTTTGTAGTATAACCTGAAATCTGGTATTGTGATCCCTCCAACTTTGTTCTTCCTTTTCAGGACTGCTGTGGCTATTCAAGACGTTTTTTGGTTCCATATGAACTTTTGAAGTAATTGTTCTAATTCTGTGAAGTATGGCGTTGGTATTTTGAAGGGGATTGCATTGAATCTATAGATTGCTTTGGGTAAAATGGACATTTGAATGCTGTTAATTCTCCCAATCCATCAACAGGGTATGTGCTTCCACTTTTTTATATCTTCCTCTATTTCTTTTTTCAATGACCTGTAGTTTTCTGAGAATACCTCCTTTATTTCTTTGGTTAAGTTTATTCCTAGGAATCTTAAATTTTTTTGCCACAATGGTAAATGGGATTGTTTTCTTAGTTTCTCTTTCTGTGAGTTCATCCTTGGTGTATAAGAATGCCATCGATTTCTTGACGTTAATTTTGTATCCTGCTACTTTGCCAAATTCATTTATTAAGTCTAGTAAACTATCCATGGAGTCTTTGGGGTTTTCTATGTATAGTATCATGTCATCTGCAAATAATGACAATTTCACTTCCTCCTGTCCAATTTGGATCCCTTGTATTTTTTCTTCCTGTCTGGTTGCTGTGGCTAAGACTTTCACTACTATGTTAAATAGGAGTGGCAAAAGTGGGCATCCTTGCCTTGTTCGTGTTCTTAAGGAAAATGCTTTTAGTTTTTGCCCATTGTGTATGATGTTGGCAGTAGGTCTTTCATATATGGCCTTTTTTATGTCTAGATATGATCCCTCTATTCCCACACTGCTGAGCGTTTTTATCAGAAATGGATGCTGGATTTTGTCAAAGGCTTTTTCAGCATCTATTGATATGATCATGTGGTTTTTATTCTTCATGTTATTTATGTGGTGTATCACATTTATGGATTTGTGAATATTGTACCAGCCTTGCATCCCTGGGATGATTCCCACTTGGTCATGGTGGATAATTTTTTTGGTGTATTGCTGGATTCGATTTGCTAGTATTTTGTTCAGGATTTTGGCATCTATATTTATCAGGGATATTGGCAGGTACTTTTCTTTCTTTGTTGTGTCTTTTTCTGGTTTTGGAATTAGAATTATGCTGGCTTCATAAA